ACAGAAAACAATTTGACAAAAGATCAGATTGATATGTGCTGGTCAATTTTATATTTCTTAAAGAACATGATATTCATATCATTTTGTCATGAATAAAGACCATTTTAATCTTATTTTTACATTATTTGTTCAAAAATTACTGAATTCGATATTTTATATGGTGTGATAAAATATCATTTTGATATGTTTGAATCATTTTAATATGAAATAAGGTACAATTGACCCAATTTCCCGGTTTAATGTAACATTTCCTCGCAGTGCAGCCGTCAAAAACAGCTGAAAAAGAACAACTATTATTATATTTTAATGGCTACCTTTGTTGCAGTATTGGGATTGGATTGGGTTCTCCGAGTGGATGGATAGATGGATGGCTGGCCTTATGGCTGGTGGCCGTTGGTTGTTCGGTTTTGGCGGATGATTCTATTGCCATTATGGCCGCGAATGCGCTTGTTCCATTATGCGGCGTTTGCTTGTCAGTCTCTAATGGATTCTGGACTCTGTATTCTGTATTCTGGATCCTGGACTCTGTGGATCAGTGAGGAAATACAAGCTTTTTGGACGGACGTGGCCTCTTCTTTGGTGGGTTCATCATGCTTGCTTTGTTTTTTTGGCTTTTTGTGTCGGCGCCAGTGCAGACCTCAAACGTATCGAATTACATTTGGCGTCTCGGTTTGTTATTTTCTTTTTCGGGACTGTCGGCAGTCTAACCTTTGATGCAGCTCATCTGCGATCTCAGTGATCTCTCATTCAGGGTCTTTCAGTTCCCTGCCGCTCCTCCCACATCAAACGGAAACGGAAATGGCCAGCTGGGAGAAAAAAGAAGACCGCAGGAGGTTTCCCTCCAGTCGTTCGTAAAACTCTGTTTTATTGTGATTGTTCTCCTTGCAGGAATCTTTCGCTCTTCATCTTTCCCCCGCGGATCATCATTTCCAATCAAGACGGCAATTAGCGATGGCCAGCAATTGGCTTTCATTCCCCTCTAACCCTTCTCGCATTTATTTCGTGGCAGCAATTATTTTCGCATTTGTTGGCCACTTGCGAATGCTAATGCCAATGATCCGGGACTGCAATAGTAATCGGAACGGCAATGGGAATGGGTTTTCGGAATGAAAAAAAAAGGGGAGAAGAAATATACAACTGGGAACGAGCTTATTAGTGCAGCCATTGCCATTGCCATAACTTTGGACAATAAAACGCAGTCGGGATTGGGACTTCAAAGGATTCAAAAGTGTTAAACTGACATGCGAGATGAGAGGCAGAAGCAGTCGGGAAAGATGGCAAGGATGGGGTATGCCTCCCGAAGACGAGGATGCGATTGGGGCGGTTGCAGGCTCTACCAGTCGTAATTCTGCACTGGTAAAAAATGATTAAAATTAATGGAAATATTTAAAAAATATTGTAATACCATTTTTAAATCTTTTTCCAAAAACTTTTGATTGTTTTTAGTTTTTAGCACAACCCTACTTAACACATTAAAGATCTCGTAAAAACTTGAGCTTAATGGCTCTACCAGTTTGGACTCTACTTTCAACCTGTGAAATTTGAAGACCTTTTTTATATATATTAGTTTCTGGCAGTGTGCTCTTGGCCAGTCGCTGAGTTTAGCACCGATGACGGACCTCAGGTTCAGCGGATTGGATTGGTTTGGGGATGGCGACTTGGGCAGTGCCCGGCCAGTCAGTTTAGCGTCACCCCCCTTGGGCTCGACGCCCCTGGCCTGCCAAAACTGACACTTGCAATGAAGACATTAGCCGCTAATGGAATTGTTATTAAGCCGCAGAAGCGCGCCTCTGGAAGAAGAATCTGTAAATCTGCAAGCGGAAGAGGAGGAGAATCTGCAGCGGACCCGAAGAAAGGCTCAACTTGATGGTCTCTCCGAGTGTGTGGATGCTGCAGCTTTAATTTGCTCATCAGTGCGGCCATTCGAGCTGGAATAAAATTATTATTGTATTTCATTTTGAATTTCGTATGAGGGATTAGATCCCTGCTCCTCGCTCTGCGTTTCGTTTCGCCGCACCAGTAATCACTTTATTGTGAGCTTGATGTATTGACAAATTATAAAAACATAAGACGGCGGGGAAAATCAGAGATGAGAGGAGATCTACAACTGAATTGAGCCTTAACACGCATTCCGCAAATCACTTATTTTGCAATCAGAGGAGAATCCAGCATTACTGGCTCAGCTAGCACCACTGGCACTACTAGCACCACTTGCACCACCTGGTGGTGCCCAGTTTGAAAGTGGGCAGGGCCCTGCTCTTTGGTGGCGGAGCTGTCGAAGTCCCGATTTGACAGGCCAAGTGAAAAATGCCCGGCCCTAGAACAATGCCAAGGTTCGATCTACGTGCGCATACTTGGCGAGCAACTTAAATGGCTTTAAAAATAAACCAAGCCACGGCCACAACTCAAGTCAATTGGCACGGAGAAAAAATAATGCAAATAATACATTTTATTTAACATCAAAAATAAAAAATGTGGGAAATGATGCTAAAGAATTCGCGTTTATATATTGTATTTTATTATTTTTGTGTGTTATTAAAAGGTAAATTTTATTTAGAGCAGAAAGTAATACGTAAGAGAACCTTTTGAACAATTTTACGAGAAAATGATGCTAAAGAATTCGCGTTTATATTTTGTATTTTATTCATATTCGTTTTTCGGCACAGTGCATTCAGGACATGGGCTTAACCTGAACCTTTTGCCTTTTCCGGCTGGAGCCCATAACAAATTAAGGCTTTTCACTTTCCATCCTTGTTGTTGTCTGGTGTGTACACACCCCAAAAAATGCGTAGCCCAAATGAATACCTAGGCAGCTCCAACAACCCATAATCATAATCATCATCATCATCGTCGTCGTCGTATTGCTGGTAATTTTTTTTGTTTTTGTAGCCTCCATTCTTGGCGTATTCGCATCCAGGTGGCTTCGTCGTTATTTGTATTCGCTGTAATATGAATTGACTGCTACTAATAATAACCACGAGCGTTTAGATGCCCTCCTTCCGACTAAGGATAGCGCTGAGCTGGCGTTCCTGCGAAATGTGACCGAAAAATGGGAATGATCTTTTGGATCGAAGATGTAAATACCCCATAAAAAATATAAAGTATAATTTTTCCAACATTTTACAAACATTTTTTAAATTTTCTATCTGTTTCTTAAAACAAAATTAATTTAATCAAGTAGATTTAAGTCTGGTTAATAATGTTTGACCAAAACCTATACACCCATTTATCCGAAAAGGCAAGGAAAACAAATTTCAGCAGTCCCAGCTCAGCATTGTTGATCTGCTGCAATTGATATGAGCGCGAGTCGAAGACTGGCAAATGGAAATAACTCAACTGGACCCCTGGATTCGAGTCCCGCGACTGAGATTCAGAGGTTGGGACTCCAGACTTCAGACCTCAGACTGCAGACTGGGGCAAATAATGATAATGACGACAGGCAAGGGCGCTCGACGGGTAGGTGGGGTGATGATGATCCAAGGCGGAGGTGTGGTGCAGGCCAGAAATCAGCAACAAATAAATGAGTTCATGCAACGTCTTTGAAATGAAGACAAAGTGGATGTCGGTTCTCGGTTGTTGTTGGCTTGTTGTGGTTGCTGATTTTCAGTTGAAGCTGGGGGATGTCTGCAGAGTGTCTGGATGTATCGCAACCAGGAGTCCGGATCTTTAAAACGTGTGTGAGTGCACAGTTCAATAGTTCATCGGAAGGTCTAATCTTGTAAACTTAAAATAATATATAAGCTTGAAGAAAGGAAAAAATAATTTTCTACATTTACAAAAAATACAAATTTAAATAAACTTTATTTTCTGTGTAGGCACTTCTCCTTCAATCCTCTCACATGTGGGCGTGTCAGACACTTTTCCTTTTTTGTTCTCTTCTTAAACTCCCAAAGCGAGAAAAATTGACCGGTACTCCATCATCTCATCGTACCCACGTGGGGTCCACTCCACTCCACTCCCCTTTTTTTCCCCCAACAGACAACAAATTAATCAAAAATTCCATGAAACTTTTTATGTTTTTCATTTCGATTTATTTTAGTTTTTAAATATTTATTCTCTTGCTTTCGTTTAGCTATTACAAACTATGGGCTTAGCAACTAGAGGATCCTTAGACTGGTGAACATTTTTACAGCTTTTTGCTAGAACGTAAGAAATTACACAAGTAGCATCACACACAAGTGAACGTACATACATAAACTATACGATCTATAGCTAGGCATGTACATCTATATAATAACTGGTAACTAGGCTATACTTAAAGAGACTCCTCCTTCGTTTCGTACTTCGATTACTCTGCTCTTCCTCGCTTTTATTCGTTGGTTCGTTCCCATTTTATTTCGGTTTTATACAAGGGTTTTTTTTCTTTCTCCCCGATGATTACTAAAAACAACTTTTTACAATTTTACCCCTCCTTCTCACGCGTGGAATGGATTGGAATGGAAATGTGAATCGCAGCCCGTTTGTGATCCCCCTTAAAACAGGGATTGTCGGGCTGCTTAAGTGCACTTGGTTTGCTCCCATAAAACTAGTTTAGGATTAGTTAGTCCTACGTTACAAATATACTTATATGGGATACTTAGGCTACGGTTACAGATACGGATTCGAGCGAATTCTAGTCTAGGCTCTAAATGCTTACAACTTATGGCTGTTCCGGCTCCTGCTGCTCCTCGCTTTTTGGCTTTGTGTGCAAGCAAGTGAGTTTCAGAGAGTCTTTGTTGGCTTTGTTGTCGTTAACTGCGATTGCAATGCATCCCGGGCCCAAATGAAATGGTTAGGTTAGCGTGGAGTTGGAATTTTGTAGTATCCGGCGTGAAGGACCATTTAACCGTTCACTTGGGCCCATTTACATAGCGATCACAACTTAAGTTATGTATGTAATATGTACAACAATTGTAAATGGGTGTGAATTAGAGCTGGAAAAATATCGATATTTTGATAATTTCACAATATTGGGTTGATAATATCAATGGGAAAAATGATTGTTTGAATGATGATGAAACGTCATGTTAATCGAAAATATCGATAGTTTCGATATTTTTCAAGCTCTACTGTGAGTGTTTCGTGTTTCTGTGTTCGTGTGAGTGGTAAGTGTGGGTGCAAGTAATACTATGTGCTCCGAAACTCTACATCTACATCTCCATCTACATCCGTGTGCCCACATTTCCCCTCTGACTGGGCTGGGGGGCGTGGCCGTGACGTGGCAGCGAGACGTGAGGCAGGTGCGTGGGTGGTCCCGCCCCCAGGGGCGAAATGGACGGTGACCGCGTGGCCAAGGGCGATAGGGATGGCGAAAAGGAGGGTGACATGGCCGACGAGGTGCTGAAGCTGCCGCTGGCCTCGTGGCCAATGGGCGAGCGGGGTAAATGGGCGGGGGCGAGGCTCAAATGGGGTGGCAATCTCATCGGCAGGTTGATGGCCCGCGGAGCCACATTGGTGAGCAGGGGCGGTGGTATGTGGCTGGGTGGTGCCGAAGGGGGAGGCTTCATCACCACACTTCCCGCTCCCGAATGCGACGCCGAGTGTTTGCTCTTGGCGGACGAGGAGGCGCCACTTCCACTGTGCTCCGAAATGGTGTCATCTTTCAGTCTAGCTATCTCGGAGAAGACATGTGCCAGTGGCTGGTACTGGGGTCCCCAGTCCAGAAGATAATCCCAATTGTAGCTGCCCGTCAGCTCCTCCTCGCTGTGAACTATCGAGCTCAGCGAGCCACCCACATTACTTCCACCCACTACGACGGGCACGGGAACGGGAACCTCGCCATAGCTGCTCATCACCCCGTGACCATGGGCCGTTCCAATGGTTCCAATCGATCCCGCCGTCGTTCCCGCATCGTCCACGCTGCTTCCTCGCTCCGAACCCCCGGCTCCGGTCACATCATTTAGCTTGGCATAGATGAGATTCGTGATATCCGAACGGGCGGTGGCATCGTCGTCGTGGAACATGTGCATCGGGTGACTGGAGCCGGCCATGCTGGAGGCCCCCCCGCCGCCACTGGGATCGTGGTCCACGATGCCCAGGCGAGCCAAGTACTCCTGGGTATTCTGCACCGATATATCCGAGATACGGCCATCATCACTGCCCACTGCCCCTCCGCCGCCGTTGCGATGATGCAGCGGTCCCTCGTTGATCATCCGGATCTCCTCATCCTCGCCATCGTCCTCCGCCGATCCGCGGCCACTGGAACCCGACTGTTCGGAGCCCGACAACTCGGAGGTGGTGGCCGCTCCCGAGCTGCCAGCATGCGGTCCAAACGGAGGAATCTCATCGTACTTGGGTGGTGCAAACTGACCCGAAGCAGCACCCGCCGCACCACTACTGATTCCTCCTCCCCTGATGGGAATCGTATCGAAGGCACTGGTATCCACATAGCTATTCGAGTTGCCCACGCCCACTGTCTCTGTGCTGCTGAGATGCGGCTTGACCACATTCCGCGGCTTCCTACTCCGCATGTGGATGAACAGAAAGATTCCAGCGGCGGCGCAGAGGATCAGGAGGAAGGCCACCAGCAGGCCAATGGCCCAGTCACCAATAGAACCACCTGAGGAACCACCAGCACTGGCGAGATTCGTACCGGGATGTGCCAGGGGATCCAGGGCAATCTCCACCACGGCCATGCTGGACAGAGAGTTGTGACGTCCCGAGGAGGCGGAGATGACCAGGCTGATGTCCCTGCCGTCCATGTAGAGGCTACCCTCTCCATCGCCATCCAGTTTGAGTTTTCTTTTGATCAGAACGGCGCCACTACTCCGATTGACCTTGAAGTGCGAGTGTGGGGCACTCAGCTGGTAGACGACTCGGCCATCGGGACCACTGTCGCCATCGGTGGCCGTCACCTGACCCACCACAAAGCCCTGGGGCAGAGCCACCGCCGCGGGGAGGACAAATCGGTAGGTGCGCTCGGTGAACTGGGGGGTGAACTCATCCCGCGACTCGATCTCCACGCGCACAGCCACCCTAGCCCTCTTGCCGCCCATGTCGGAGGCCTGCAGCTCCAGATCGTAACGCTGCCGCTGCTCATAGTCGAAGACGAAGGACGAGGTGACCAGACCACTTTCCGCATCCACACTGAACATCTTCCAAGAGCTCTCGTCACTCGGAGCTGGGGAAATGCTATAGTTTAGCTGCCCGAAAGGTCCCTTGTCCAGATCACTGGCATGAGCACGGAACACAGAGCTGCCCACGGGTTCATTTTCGGCCAGGAAGTGGACATATTCGGAAAGCGGGAACCTTGGTTCATTGTCATTCTCATCGTGGAGTTCCAAGCGAAAGGGTTGCAGGCTGCAAAGAGGCCGCGGGTGATGGCTATCGCAGGCTCGGATGATCAGCTCATAGCTCTTGGCCCCCGAATCGTAATCCAATCGATTGTTAACAAAGAGCACACCACTCACCAGGTCTATGGTGAACATGTGCTCATCATTGCCCGAGGTTATGTCGTAGACCACCTCCGAATTGGGGGTATTCTCCTGATCGGCATCGATGGCCTGCAACTGAGCAATGGAGTATCGCAGAGGGGCTAGTTCGCTGATTTCAGCCTCATATTTGGCACTACGATCGAAAATGGGGTAGTTGTCATTGGCATCTAGAATCGTGATGACCACCGAGATGCCAGACGTAGAATTCGCGCCCGCCGGAAGTGCAGATCCATGGGGATGGCTCAGAACCAATCGCAGTTTGTACAGATCATTGCGTTCTCTGTCCAGAGGTTTCACCAAAACAATTGCCTTCGATTGCATCAGCTCAAAGGTGGATTCTTCGTTGCCAGAAGCAATTACAAACGACTGATCCAGGACATCTTGACCCAGCTGAAGGACCACGGAGCCCAAAGGAGCTGCCTCGCTGATGTGTGCCCTATACTGGTTCTGCTGGAATTGCGAACGACCCGAGCCATTGTCACTGGCCTGAACTCTCAAGAGAGTGGAGCTCTTCATCGAGGGTTTTCCCGAATCCTTGGCCGAAATTCCTACAAAGTAATCTCCGCTGGGCGAAACTGCAGGCTGTAACCTACTCATGTTGACGGACACAACTCCACTTGATGGGTGCACCGAGAAGCCTTCGAGGGCAGGTTCAATGAAGTAACTGACCTTGGAGTTACTACCCTCCGAATCCGCATCGGTGGCATTAACTGTCAGGAGCTCCAGGTCCATGGAGAGACTCTCTCCTATCTCACTTACCGCCGGCAGAATGCCAAAGTAAGCCGGAGGCTGTTGGGCCAGGAATATCGGGGCATTATCGTTCTCATCGTTCACCTTTACTGTCAAGATAGTTCGAGCTTCATGGGCTGCATCGGAAGCAATCACCTCGAGTTCGTACTCCTGCTGGAGTTCGTAGTCCAAACGTCGCTTCAGGACGAGCTTTCCACTATACCGATCCAGGGCAAAGATGGACAGGTTCTCTATCTCCAAGCTGGATTCGCTACCAAGGCGGTAGGTTAGAGCGGGATAAGTGTCCACATCGTTGGCTGAAATGGATGTGATGACGGCTCCAAGCTCAGTGGCTGGAAGAAAGGGAAGAGAGAAATGTGGAAGAAGCAATATTAAAAGGGGAAGAAGGATGGTCGTAGGGTTGTAAAAAGCAATCGATTACACTATCGATACTATCGATGGTTTTAAAAATTAAAATATCGATAGTAATCAATTTGATAAGACATATGTTTAATATCTCTAGAGAGAAGGATAGAAATACAGTTGTAGGGTTGGTTAAATAATCGATAGCACTATCGATGATTTTAAAATTAGAAAATATCGATAGTAATCACTTTGATAAGACCTACATATTTAATATATCTAAGATATCTTACCTTCACTGATACTGACGAGATTGTTTGGCGGAAATGTGGGCTGGTTATCATTAACATCGACGATCTGCACCCTTATGGTCGCCGTTCCCGTCATCTGGGGCACTCCCTCATCGGTGGCGATGATCTTCAGCTTGTATATATCGCGAATCTCCCGATCCAGAACGATATTAGTCTTTACTATGCCACTGAAGGCGGGCTCAATGACGAACGCATTGTCGTGGTTGCCATCAACGATATGATATCGCAGTCGAGCATTGGAACCTGCATCCGAATCGAAGGCCTGAACCTGGGCCACAAAGGTGCCCTTGCTATTTCCCTCCGAAACGGTGGCCACAAATTGCTTTTGCGAGAACTTCGGACTATTATCGTTCTCATCCTCCAGTTCGATTACCAATTCTGCGTAGGTGGCCAGGAAAGGAGCATCCGAGCTGCGAGCAACTATAACCACATGGATCTCATTGGGTTCGCTGTTGGTCAGTGCGAAAGATGAGGATGTCAAGGCCCTTTGGGATCGGGTGGCATTACTCGAATCCTCCTCTGATGCCTCCTCCATCTCCATTTCTTCGTAATGAAGGGCTCTACCCCGATTGAGCGCCGACATTGAGGGCGTGGCAAAGCGATCGTAGTCGAGAAGATGGGGTTTATTCACCCTTATGTCACCCGACAGGGAATCCAAAGACAATATACCATCTTCATTTCCTGCTCCGAAAGAGAATTGCACCTTCTGACGTCGACCATCGCTTCGAAGTGCCACAACCTGCAGAAGTTTTGTGCCCGATGGGGAGTTCTCCTTGATCTTCACTCGATAGGTTTCATTCTGGAAACGAAGAACCGGCATTCCCTGGGGGGCTTCTCCTATCAGGAGCTCTATGAGACCCAGGCTGGACTGAGGGGGATTTCCCTTGTCCCTGGCAATAACCTCAAGCTGCAGAAGCTTTCCCGATTCACTGGCCAAACTCTGTGAGGCACTCAGAGCACCCGTGCTGGGATTTATTCGGAACTTTCCGCTCACTGCCGAATTTTCCGCCTTGAGGGCATAGATAACCTCTCCATTCGCGCCCAAATCGGCATCGTGGGCCTGGACCTTTAGCAGCATTTGACCTGGCTGAATGAGAGCCGGAACCTGACCGATATAGGGATATCGCTCGAATACGGGCCTGTTGTCATTAACATCCAGCACGTTGATTTGCACTGGAACCGAAGCCGATCTCACTTCATAACGTCCTCCGTCCGTGGCCAAAACCATGAAGCTGTAGCTCGCCTGAAGCTCGCGATCCAGTTTTCTGCAAGGAGAGAAGGAGGGAAATGGGGAAACGATTCAATTAATGGCCTGAACACGATCCGTCGGCGATGGGCGCCGCTTGCGACACTAATTAGGTATCTCTGGGAGCCCCAGCTCCTCTCTGGCATACAATATATAATCGTAATCGTAATCCCACCGACAATTAGCCACACGAAATGATTCGCAATGGATCTAGGCAGGAAGAAAGGGAAGAGATCTGACAAGGTGGCGTGCACTGAGAGAAATAACTATTAGTCTAGGTTGGGCAAAAGTTTTTTTTATAGAATATCTAATTGTAATTGCTTATCTTTTGCTAATTGCTTGCTTTCAAGAAACTTTTATTTTATTTTTAACAATTCCCAACCAGTTTTAGTATCCCACAGAACTGTTGATCTTTTTGTGAAAGTTATCGATTGCAATGTTAATTTCTGTGTTAATTGATTTTATTGAAGAATCTTCTACATTTATTGCACCTAAGAAGCTATAATTCCCAACCAGTTCTAGAACCGACTGATTGTATTCTGATTGGTATTTGAATCATATAAATCCCCAATCTAGGTCCCATTTTACTCCAGTGCTTGAGGTTGGGGGCCTGAGTGGTAATTAAGTCATTTGTTTGTGGTCTTCCCACTGGAGATGCACACTCGCATTAGCATTCGCTCGGCTTGAGCTGAGTTGATCTGCGGCCTCAGTTGACTCGTCGTCTTCTTCGGCCAGAAAACTAATCCCGGCAGTCGGGACGGCCGCCTATCGCTATCACGCGGCTCTCCAGAGCTCCCCTGGAACATGTTTGCTGCCACAAATAATAAACCTAAATGATTACAATCCTTCGCAGTTGCAGTTAAACTTGCTAGGCAGTCGGCAGTTGGCAGTCGCCGCCATTCCATTCCATTCCATTCCGCGCTTGCATGTTGGCCAATAAAACGAATTTAGCAAATTACAAGCTCATCCCGGGCAGAGGGCCATTTTATGAATTGAATCAGTCAAACTGAAGTGAAGGAACAGCGAGTTGAAGCTCTGAGCTCCTCGGTTCTACCGTCCAACTCCCTTTTTTTTTCTTTTTTGGTTTAGGCTGAATGTGAAACAACAGCAGAAATGCTTTCAAGGGTCAGTCATCAGTTGAGGTTGTTGTTGTTGCTGTTGTTTTTGATCATCAGGCTCGGACTTGAGATTTGTGGTTGGCAAGAAGGTTTCGGGGAAAGGGCTGGAAATGAGGGACAGGCGACGGCGAACAAGCAAAGTCGGGGATTGGGCCTAGACTGATGTTTCACTGAGGAAAAATGGGGCTCAAAATAAATAAGGGATAACTGATTTAGGGGTTAAACCTATGGCCTTATAAATTCATCCAGATAGTTTGAAAACTGAGAGACTAGTTTACGTAGAAACGGACGGACAGACGGACAAACGAACGAACGGACAAACGGACAGACTAGATCGACTCGTCTAGTGATCCTGATCAAGAATATACGTTATTAAGCTCCTATTAAAATAGCTTTAACTTTATTTACTAGACATTTTCCCCAGTGTAGTGGTTAGCCCTAAGCTCTTGACTCTGCTCGCTTGTCCATCGCCAGTCAGTCAGCTAAGGCCAGAAATAAAAGAAGGAAAAAATGAGAACTAGCTACATCGGCCTAAACAAGCGGCAGGCGCATTTTTGTCTTTTCCCCTGTTTTGTTACCCTGTTGTTTAGACCATGAAGGCAGGTTTAAGTCCAATCCAGGTACCTCTGAGCTCCAATACCGATTGCCAAGTCCAAGTGCAAGTCCAAGACTAACAACAACGTCACGAATTGTCTCTCCGTCCGTCTGATTGTCTGCTCTACAATTCTGTGCTCTGTGTGCCATTACCTTCGCCATGTGGAGAAGGAGAAGGAGCTGCCCAGATCTTTATTCTCCGCGACTCTCTGGTCTTTTTGCTTTTTGTGCTTTTCGGCGGTTGCGGTGGCGGGGATTTCGTTTTTATTGTTTGCCGACAATCAGCGAAAGATAAAAATTGGTACATGACAGCGGATCGCGTTTGTATAAATGGCAACACTGACGCTACTGTCATTTCGAGTGCCCCCTGCCCGCGGTAACTCCATTCCTTCTTTATTCTCCCTGCGATCCCAGGATCCTCCGAACCCCCAACTTCTTTGGCCGGAACTGAGCAAGAGCTATGTCAGACGGAACAAGCAATTGTTGTCATCATTGATTGTCAATAAGCATAAATTTGCACCAGAGGGGGCCCAAGTAAATGCAGAGAGAGAAAATCTTAAAAGCTTATTTTAAATCTAAAGAAATTTCTAACTTCAAATATAAAAAGAAGGTAACTATATAATAACTATCATGATTTGATCAACTTATTTCTTTCTGTGCACAGTCAGGAATCGAAGAAAACACACATGGGGACGGGGACAGGGACTCATTGAGGATTCACGTTGGACTCGAACTCCATTTCGAGTTTCAGCTCCACCTTAAGCTATTTATAGGAATGTCTGTAGGAGGAGATGGGGGCAAAAAATGGCCAAAACCTGAGGAGTAGGGAGCGGCGATGACAGGAGACGGATTCGCAACATTGTCGCCGCATGCGTAGGATGCTCTGATATGCCTCGGATACATCGATTTCCATGCCGCATTAGTTGAGGAAATTATGGCAATGCTTTTTTGTCGCGTCCTTGCTTGAGATCGTCTCTTGAGATAAGATCAAGCCAAGCAATGACCCAGAGAAGAGATCTCACCAAGTACAAAGGCAACTTAAAACTTAAAACTTACCCAACGGTGGTGATTAATCCGCTCTGGCTGTCGATGGCGAACTGCCATTGGCTTTCGTTGGCCAGCGAGTAAACGAGTCTGGCATTTACGCCCAAATCCGCATCCACGGCACTGATCTGCACCACACTCGAGCCCAATGGTGCGTCCTCCTGCACACTGGCGATATATTTGCTCAGCTTGAACCGGGGGGCATTATCGTTCTGGTCCTCAACGAAAACGGTAATGTTACAGTGTCCCTGGCGACCCTTGGGCTGTCCGCGATCCGAGGCCTGGATTTGCAGGCTGTACATGGACTGCTGCTCCCGGTCCAAAGGTCGAACACTCAGCTCCCCGGAAGAGGCATCTATGCTAAATTTGTTGCCCGAATTTCCACCTGAAATAAAAGAGGTAATGACAAAAGAATATTATGTTATGCAGTATAAAGTAGAATTTAACTTATATAGATATAGAGTATAGATCACTGGTGGCCAGCAGAAGCAGCGCGCAGGGCCCACGGGATAGGCAATTTCTCTGCCGCTGCGCTGCTAGCGTATCAACCCTCACGTACGCTGTAAGGCAAAAAAAAGGGCTGCTTTTGCTGGCCACCCCTGGTATAGATCGATTTTTCTTCTATCTTACCCGTAATACTGTAGATAAGATCCGCATTTGGTCCTTCATCCAGATCGCTAGCCACCACAGTGTGAATAACACCGGGCTCACTGTTCTCCGGAACAGACAGGCCATAACACGAACCCGGTCGAAATTCCGGGGAATTGTCGTTGACATCTCCTATGGTTATGTAAACAGTAGCCACATCGAAGTGCTGGCCATTCGAAGCCTCTCCATTGTTGTCCGAGGAGCGTTGCTTTCGCACCGCCGAAGAGGACGAGGTGGCCAGGCGGTTGGCATCTCGCACATAGACGGGCAGGACATAGCTGGCCTGCGACTCCCGGTCAAATTGACCTCGGGTTGTAATGATGCCCCTCTGCCAGTCTACGTGGAACAGATCTTTGGCTACGCCAGCGGGAATTTCGTAGCTCAGATTTGCTGTGAAAGAAGAGAATAAGAAAAAGAAAAGTTATGGTTAAGGAAATATAACAAATACATTAATTTTACAAAACAACTTAAGAGTTATTATTAAAAATCCTTACCATTCTCAGCACCGTGAAGCGACTTTGCCGTGACCTGCAGAACGAAACTTCCGCTGGGAACATTTTCCAAAATTGAGGCCCGATAAACAGCCTGCAGAAATCGCGGGGGATTATTGTGGCTGCCTTGGACGATGAGTTGAAGATTCAGAGAGCTTTTCTTAGACTCCGGTTGTCCATTATCCTTGGCACTGATGACCAGGCTAAAGCGTCCGCTTTTCTCCACATCCTCAGCGGCCGGAGGCAGGGATTTAACCAGCTCAATGATTCCCGTTTGGGGATTGATCCTGAAGCGGCCCTCCCCATTGCCTCCTGTGATTTCGTAGGTGAGGTGACCATTGTCACCCGAATCCTGATCCACGGCCACAATATGGGCCACACTTTCGCCAATTCTGGTGGCATCGCTTATGAAAAGACTGGCAGTTTTCGGGGAAACAAACTGCGGGGCATTATCATTGGCATCCAGCACTCGCAGTCTCACAGTCACCGAAGTCTGAAGTCTTTCGGTCACATTCGAGGATTGATCCAAGGCCTGAACAATCAGTAGATACTCCTGCACAGCTTCGAAATCCAGGGGAGCCTGAAGACTCAGAGATCCTGTCAGGGAATCCAGGCCGAAGAGCGGCATTGCCTGCTCCTGGCTTTCGTTCAGTTGGGGGAAATATCGCAGCAGACGATACTGGAGCTCTCCGTTGGTTCCCGTGTCCGCGTCCGTGGCCGTAAAATTGTGGATTATTGTGCCGAGGGGAGTGGCCTCGCTCACCTGCGGAACGCATAGAAAATGCAATAAAATGTAAGAATTAAAACTACCAATATCACGTTTTATGATCATAGAATTTACTGCAAAATGGAACTTTCTATTTTCTCATTTCCTCAACTTAATTACAGAGTTATGGTGTGTGTAAAAATGTATAAACATTTTATTTGGTGTTAAAAGTAGTGCAGCGCTAGTACTATTTGATATTTATGCATTTTAAGTTCGGTAGTTGGTAAATGCGGGTCTTAGTTAAACCAGGTATTAAATGAAATGAATCGTTATATATTTTCTATAATTACCTGGAGATCAATAGGATCCTGGGGCCATTCAGGTGCATTATCATTGACATCGGCCACTTCGATCTTGACCGTGATGGCGCTGCTCTGTGGATTATTACTGGCGGTGGTATCTAGTGCTCTAATTTCCAGCCGGAATTCTGATTGAACTTCTCTGTCCAACAAACGAGCCACGACCAGGTTGCCCGTGTGGCGATCGATGTCGAAGGCTGCTTCGATCAGATCCTTGGTCAGGGGATTCAGGGTGTAGGTGACCCGCAGATCCTCGAAGGACTCCTCCACACTGTTGCGCACCACATCCGCCGGACGTTCGCTGGGGCTGATGGAACCGACCACATGGCCCACGACGGCATCCTCGCGTACCTGCGCAAATACCAATTATAGATTATTTTCGTGGCTTATTAAGAGGAGCATGGGAATATGGGAATATATGGGAGGGGCGGTCGAAAAGAGGAGGATGCCGACTTCGCGGGTCGCTCTACTTGGACCTGGTTGTGTTGTTCGGCGCGTATCTTAATCTCAACAACAGTGTTGAAAATCCAATCTTAAAGCAATAATTCATACTTCAAGATTACGAAGGCAGCAAACATTTAAAAATTTCATTCCCCCCTCCCAAAAAAAAAGAAACGAAGAGAGGCGAACAGAACAGAGGAACCAGAATCTTTGAGAGGAAGCCCGTCCAGTCTCAGGTCCCAAGTTCCAAGTCCCAAGTCGCCGACCAATGGCATTAAAAAGAAATTATGCATTCCGACCAAGTTGGCGGCCCCGAAAATCACTGCAGAAAAATGTTGTGAGCCATATGAGCAGCGGGTTTTTTTCGGGGGATGGGGGAAGAATCTCCGAAGACAGAAGAAACTCCGCACAAGAATTTAATATGCAAAACCGCAAAAACCGTTCCAAGAGGTCCCTGCGACCAAAAAAAAAAAATGGAAAAATGGAACGAAACAAGAAAGGTTCTCTCTTGCAGTGGGTATCTTTTTTCATAAAATAAAAACATTGCAAATATTGTTTGGGTCGCCAAAATGGAGACACAAAAATGACAGTCACGAGATTTATGCCCCGCCAAGATTACGCAGTTGGCTGCCTCAAAAAGGTCGGAGGTACACTTGCAAAAAATGTATATCCCTTAAAGAAAAATCTGTTTATATAATAAATAAAAATGTTAAAATGAAGTGTCCCGGATGTTTAGAAAATTAGATCATACATACTTTATCTTTTACCTTTAATAAAGTAAGTCTTTTCGAAATGGCAAACTATTAAATATTAACTTGAATAAAAGTTATATTTATTTCAAAATCATAATAGATCATATATACTTAATTGTTACCTTTAATAAAGTAAGGCTTTATAAAACTGCAATCTATTAAATATGAACTTACTAAAAGTTATATTTATTTCACAATCAAATATCTGCTTTTATTTTTGTACATTTTATTGAGGTAATCTCTTCTTTTCCCGAGTGCGCGGTTAACTAACGACTACTGGAGGCTGCGGTTTGTTCATTTCGGTTTTGGCCAAATTATTCACAGAGCCCAGCCACAAAAATGGCGAATGATTTGTTCTGCACTTTTATGGCAGGCTCAGCAAGAAACGGGGAAAAAGGGAATAAAACCCCTGGGGGCGGAAGGAAAAGGGGGCCTTTCGGTGGGGGAATTGCTTAATTACATCGGATTTATTTGTGGCAATCCGTCGCTGAGTAATTGGCATCAGCGGAGGACTTTGACTTTATGGCCGAGTGCATCTCAGTTAGTTCAACGCCAACGCAAAAGAACAAAAGCCGCAACGAGCAGGCGGCGCGGTATCAAAGCGAAGGCAAAAGGCCGTCCGAAATGCAACGAAATGTGTCAATTTTAATTGTGGCCGAAGCGGATTTAAGGGACGCACAAGGTCCCGACCTGGGATCCTCTTGGTTTTGTTCTGGGTAAGACATCCCCCCGCCTCGGTACTCCCATCCTTGACAGACTGCCTTTGCGCTGCGAGAGGCAATTAAATGCATGTCAAAGCGTCGCAGCCATCAGCGGTTGAAGCCGCGTTTCAGTCCGAATCTGAGGAAAACCTGTGGAACCTCGGGAAGCGCTTGGGAGTGGGGAGTATGCAAAACATGTGCGAATCGAACGTGATAAAAATGTTAAAGGGTTCCCAAGCAGCGAAAGGAAGGGCAGAACAGCGTAGCAGCATGCCGAAATCTAAGCAGGCGAGCTCCTCGAGGCACGAGGCTGCTCCTCCTTCAACCTCCTTCTCTGATCTCTCAACTGACGTCTCGAATCGCACTTAATAGGCCTGGCCAAGATCTCCACCTTCTCCAGGAGGAGAAGGATGGGAAGAGGGAGGCGACTTGTCACAGAGCATAGTGACAATTACGCGTGCGCAATGAAAACGCCGACAATGAAGGAGGATAAAGATGCAGTGCACTGCGAGAAACCAGGGTGTGCTATTAAGAAAGCACACTGGAAAAAGCAAGTGAATTAAAGTAGATTGGTTTGTAAGTTGGTCCTTCGAGCCGGATACTCAGCTAAATGACTTTTGACAGAGATGCATTTATGCGAGCAGCAAAGAAGACAGGCGCTTAAAGTGGCGCTATCTAGCGGAAAATGCATTATTAAAAAAATTAAAAACAAAACAACAACAAGGATTTATTAATAGAATAATATGCAATACTTGGTCCTTCGAGCCGGATTGTGGTATTTCAAACTTCCCAGTTTTTAAACCCTTTTTGCCTAGTGCAATTTCGGCTCTCAGGGCTTTAAATGCAAATCGCGACACTTCCCACGTCTCTGGCACTCTGTGACATCTGCTTCCGAGCTCTTTAAAGGGGGCGGCAGTGGGAGTGGGAATGGGAATAGGGGGAGATCCCTAGATCCCAGGAAGGGATTCATACGGTCGTTCCAGAGTCGTGTTCTCGGCCATTGTCACGTGAGGCTAAGGCTGCGGCTACAAATCATCCGCCGCAACAAAGGCGGCAAGCCAAAGGCAAAGGTAAAGCCAAAAGGCACTTGGCTAAAGGCGAGAAAACTGGAAGAGGCGACAAACGCGCTGCTCACGATCGCTGGGGAAAAACGGTCGTGTAAAACTAGAAGCGTCAAATAGACAAAAGTTTTCCAGGAAATACAGCATTTGTGGGCTCGATCTTCGTACCATCGTCGTCGTACCAACCCATCCCATCCCGGAGTGACCCTCGCATAAATCTAGCACTCACCCTGAAGACCAAGCTGGAGCTGGTGAATGTCGGGCGGTTGTCGTTCAGGTCCAAGACCTCGACGCGCAGCATCCGCACCGTTTCCCTGGGCGGACTTCCGCCATCGGAGGCGGCCACTCCCAGCCGATAGATGCTCCGCTCCTCGTGATCCAGGACCACGCGAGTTCGGATCACTCCGCTGCTGGGATCGATGCTGAACAGTCCGTGTCCATCGGAGTCCCGACCCTTGACAATCGAATAGGTGATGGAGGCATTCTGCCCGTTGTCCCGATCGATGGCTCGTATCCGCACCACTTCGGTGCCCGGCGGCTGCTCCTCCCGCACGCTAACCACATCCTCCTGCGGATCGGCAATCTCGGGAGCATTATCGTTGACATCACTGACATGGACGCGCACGGGAACGCGGGCACTTCGCACCGGGGTTCCCTGATCACGGGCCTCCACCACAAGGTCGTACAGCTCGCGCAGCTCCCGATCGAGCGGTTCTCGGGTGGAGATTTCACCTAAAAGGCAGAAAAAAATACAAGTTTATAAATAGAAGTTAAATAAAATACTTTAAAAATTAAATTTAATTATAAATTATCTTCTTGAAATCACCGAACATGCACAACGAACCTATTAGGCCTTTAATAAGTCATAAATAACGAAGAGTACTCTAAAGATTTCACCTAACCACATTTTTTATGGGGTTTTCAAGTAAATAAATATTTCAACACTCACATAACTTTGTAATAAATGTGAAATATACTTAGTTTTATAAATATTTCGGCACCGAACGGAAAATTTACTTCTTATTCGCTAAGTTTTTATGGCTTTTCATAATAATCCTGTTTCTTGCAGTTGCCTTTTCGGAATTTTTCGTTAATAAAGTTAACAATTAGTTCGGAACTGGTTTTAGAGCTTTGTAAGCATGATATTACTATTTTGTTAAACCATTTCGAATCGAGGACTTCTTTTGCCGCATAATAATGGCAGACAGAGGGGAGTGGGTGCATTGTTGCCTCCTAACTGGGTCGCCGATGATTAATGCCCCCGAAAGAAATTCATGTCATGCGAGTGGCAGCAGAGTGGAACCTGTTTTTCAGCCAGGATTAGCTGCACGAGATTTCCATATTTAATTTAAATGAGACGAGACGGAGAGGTGTCCCCTGCAAGAAAAAAGTATCCGAGAGTACCGCTCGCCTCCAGCGGACACGCACATGGATGGCGATGTGGATGTGGATGCGAGGCGAACTTGGACACGGACAGTGGCTGGATGTCAGGCCAATGATATTCCATTGACGGATGAGCTGACAGCGTTAAAACTGTTGTTGCCCGAACACTAATGGTCAGGCATCGGCATCGGGCATCGGGAATCGGGCACCGCGCTTGAGACCCAGTACACCCAGTCGAGATCTCGGGTATCTCGGCGATCGCATTTTATCGCTTGGCAGGAACAGGTTTGCCATGCGCTTGATCTATGGGCCAGTGGCAAAGAAGGAGATGCACTGGGAGAAACATGTCTAGGATTGTTTTTACATTTTGTAAAAAATTAAATTTATAAAATTTATTATACCCTTTAAAGATTTAGGAAATTGAAAATGCAATTTTGTTGTGTTTAAAAATTCCTATCAAAACTTAAATCGGACCATTCATTAAAAAGTTATAAACAAAGATTGAAATGGCCGACAGGTGGAGCCATCAAAAATTTCAACTGCCGCTAGATAAATGTCTAGATATATCTCGCCTGTAGAGAAAAAAACCTTTGCTCTCCAATTTTTAATTTACTTTCTCTATAAACCCGAGTGATATTCCTAGCAAATGTAGCTATGTAGCTAGATTTTCTCTCTCTGTAAGCAATGTAAGCTGGATCTCCTTTAGAGCTTTGAGGAGCAGTAATGAATGACCGTGGGTCATGGCTGGTGGCTTGACAGTTGCCACCGCCACCGGAGCCGCGTTGAGTGAGTTGTTCGCTGTTAGAGCGGCCTTAATTTATGGCCAAAAGGAAGTCGGCGGAAAGAAGACTCACCTGTGACGGGATGCACCTGGAAGCTGGAGTTGGCCGGCAGCAGGCTGTATCGGATGGCAGCATTCTCGCCCAGATCCAGATCGCCGGCAGTGACCACTCCCACAACGGAGCCCCTCCGGAGGTTCTCCTCAATCCTGAATTCGTAGTTCGGTTTCAGGAACTTCGGGTCATTGTCGTTGGCATCGAGAACGCGAACTGTGACTTTTGTTTTGGCATGAGCGGCTGGAGTTCCATTATCGGTGGCCAAAATAGTCAGCTGGTAACGATCCCTGGTCTCGCGATCCAACGGGGCACGCAGATATATCCAACCGGAGTTGGGGAATATGCCAAAATGTTGCGCCACATCCGAGCTGCTAATGGAGTTCGTGACATTGTCCACTCCGGCATCCACAATCCTATAGGTGATCCTGGCATTGTTGCCCGTGTCCAGATCGCTGGCATTAACCTGAATAATCTGGGAATAGAGAAGCAGAGACAAAAGTTAGAGCACGGAATACTAAAGTGGGGAATGCATCAATCATTTGGGACCAAGAGAGCGGCCTGTGTATCTGGCAAACCTCTAAGGAGAACTCGTTTCCGATGCCAAAGATATGAAGTGATTTTATGATCAAAACTAGTTCAGGCCGAAGAACTGGAAGAGCTGAAGGGAGCTCACGAGAGTAGAGGCTCTTGGGAGCCAAGGAGGCAGAAGGCAAAGAGCTCAGAAATCTCAGCTTCGGTAGGAGCTCCTCCTGGGTGTTGAGATATTTTCAACGCGATATGACGGCCGCCTGACAAAAGCGTGACTTTTAGTGGCTGTTAATCAAATTTATGTGGCCCATTTAGTTTGCATTACACAGATTTATTTTTCAATAAAACACCCTCAGCAGCAGCCATCGTAATGGAAAGCCATCTTAGGCAATACTTAAGATTATTTAATGCAAGTTTCCAGTTAATCGACATTTTTGGTTGGGGAATAAACTCAAAAAGAGCAGAGAAAAAAATTAAACTGAATCGCTGAGACCGCGAATTCTTCAGAGTAAGAGAAACCAATTTTTACCACATTTTTGATGCGATTTTTTTTAAAAATACGGTTGCCAAATGTTATATTCGAAAATATTAAGAAATTGTATTTTTTTTTTATTTATTTTTTTTTTTTTTTTGATTTTATGAAAATTACCTGTGCATTAATAGAGCGTGATTCGGATACATTCACCGAATATTCATCCCTTTCGAAAACTGGCGGATTATCGTTGACATCCTGGACATCCACCAGGATGGTTAGATTCGTTGAGAGGCTCGGAACTCCTCCATCGGAGGCGGTCACAATGAGGGAGTGACGCTGCGAGGTCTCGTAGTCCAAGTGCTGAGATAAGACCAGATGGCCAGATCTGGCATCGATGGCAAAAAGCCGCTTGCCCGAATCCCTGACCAGGCTGTAGCTGACTTGACCACTGCTTCCCGAATCCTTGTCGTGGGCATGGGCAGCATAGAGAGGAGCTCCCAACTCGGCATTTTCCGGCACGGAAATCCTGACCATACTGGCCTCGAACTCCGGAGCATTATCGTTGACGTCCTCTACTTCGATGTTGACCTGGGTGTGTCCGTAGACCGGAGGTTCACCCAGGGTGGCTTGAATGTTCAGTAGCACCTGGGATTTGGCCTCGTGATCAAGGGGCCTAGCTATGCGTATATTTCCAGAACTGGCTTCTATGCTGAAATAGCCATCGGGATCGCCAGAGTATATGGAATACCTCACAGGACTGCGATGGGCTGTAATGAAAACAAAAAGTATTGATTAAAAAATGTTCTTTTCCAAATAAATCCTATAATAAGCGCCTTGTTGTACCGAATTTAAAGGAGCACATTAAGGTTAACGTTCCCCTTTTCGCGAATGATGAAAGATCACTGCAATTATTTCGGCAAATAAAGTTGAAGGAACTCCGAAAAACGAAATTAGGAGCCGCCGCTGCTCATTAAAAGCCATTCAAAGGCCTCGACAATGAGTTGCAGGAACAATAGAATCTCGACCTGGAGAGGGAGAAGGAGCTCTCGTCACCGATTGACACATGAGGCAGGTAGGAGTGGATGGTGGATGGTGGATGGAGGATGGAGGATGGGGCATCTCACATACAAAGAATGGGGCATGAAAGGAAGTGCACAGCGAAAGCAGCAAATTAAACCGCAAAATCATTTTGCATAGCCAGAGCGACGATCGTGGATCGTCTGGGATTTTATTTCGACTTGGACTGGGGCCTCATGAGTCTTGGAGTCTGGAACTGGAACTGGAAAACGGGCCCTTGTATCGTGCTCAACTCGATGACGAGGACGTCGTTGATGGGTGCAGATTTCTGCCGAAATTTGTGTTTGAAGTGTTTTGCTTTGGCTTTGTTGCATTGGCTGAAAAGACCCGAAAAGCCTTTGGCTTGGAATGTCTGAATATGCCTTTGGATTTTGTGCCCTATATTTTTGGTAAAGGTATTTACCATATAAAAATTTAAATTACTACTGATATGTAGGGGACCGTGAATAGAATAACCAAATCATGTAAAATGTATTTTAATATATATATTTTTTTTTAAATTTGGTTTTAAATCATTTATATTTTTTTCCCTGTCTTCGTGTCCTCGTATTTTGATTTCCAGACCACTGAACTAATGAATGCGCTACCCAAAAATAATATAATCTTAAGGATTGAGATATTACTTACCAGTATCTCCACTCGTAGCTATCACCGAACCCACGACCGTGCCCCTCGGAATGTCCTCCTTCACATAGTAATTGTATCTGGCCTTCTCGAAGATCGGAGGTCGCTGCATGGCATCGATGATGCTCAAAAAGACCACGGCATCGGCACCGCTCCTTAGATTACCGCCATCGGTGGCGGATATGTTGAGCATGTGCATGGGTTGAGTTCGAACGGAGAGCATGTCCGGTCGGGCCACGAAAATCTCTCCGGAGGAGCGATCAATCCGAAAGATTCCCGCCTCGTTGCCGCCGACAATTCTGTAGGATACCTGGCCAAAGTTACCCGAATCCGGATCCGTGGCCACCACGGCAACAATTGGTGTACTCGCCCCTTGCGCCGGGGCATTCGAGTATTCCCTCAGCGATACGTTGTACTCCCTGGGATAGAAAACCGGACGATTGTCATTTACGTCCGTCAATTGCATTTTGATCATGGCCGTGGTGCTGAGACCCCCGCGATCGGTGGCCAGTACGGGAAATTCGTAGCTACTCCTCCGCTCGAAGTCAAGTTCACCGGCTATGCAAATCTCCCCGGAAGCAGATCGCACTTCGAATTCAGTGAGGTGCTTGAATCCCTCGCCCAGGGTGTAGTTCACCATGGCATTTACTCCACAATCCGGATCACTGGCAGAAACCTAAAATACATAGAGAAAATAAAATCAATTAATATTGGGAGTTATAAAAAGATTAATAATTGATTTGTTTGGTTTGTAGAAAATAATACCGCGAATTCTTCAGCCAAATTACATTAATTCGAATTGATAATGGTTGAGTTCTATATAAAATACTTGAATAAATTAGCAAAGCCCAACTCAGTTATGAATTGTATATTCCAACAGGTACAAATGAAGTTGTCAAAATTTTAATTTGATTTACAGGCAGCTGCTGCCGTTGGCTTTTTTGGGCTCCCGTTCCGGGGCTTATCTCCCTGCGCTGTTCAGAGCTTAATTTGGCAATTTGTTATGCTCGGGATCGGGAATTCGGGTTGGGGACTCTCCGCCCCCGAAAGCCCTCATATCAGGCGAGTGTCAACTTAAATTTGAGCCAAAGACCCGAGGTGAATCACGGTGGCAGAAAGGTTACAGATTTCTGGAAAATGGGAGCAATGACCCCCGCTTAATGGCAGCCAATTAGTTGGCATTTTGCGTAATCGACATTTGCATTCTGTTGCCTGTCTGTTTTGGACCAAAGAAAGGGAAGGAGCTAAGGAATGGAAATGGGCATGGGAGCTGGAATGACGGGGAAATGTCTTATAAATAGCCAACCAGCGGGGGCAGGTATCGATCGCATTTGACGCCAACGAACAGCCAAGAAACCAGCAATTAAAACTGTCATTATTTCACTTTAAATAGAAGGCGGAGGAGGCTGGAGTCCAGAGAAGTTTTCCCCTGATCGAAGACAAGTTGCAAAACAAACGAATAAAGTAACTGTGAGGACAGGGCACACTGGGATATCAAAAAGCAATTTGAAGAAATTAAGATTGAGAATTTTGGGATCAAAAGAATTTTTTTTGAATTCCTGGGTTCATTTTAAGATATTCTGTGTTTTAAATGAAATCAAGAAAGTAAAACCATAATTACAGAAATATAAAATAGAGGCACTGTGAAATTTAACGCTCAAAATTAAATAATAATAATACCGCGAATTCTTCAGCAATTTCATGAATTCTTTTTTACAATCAATTTTTCTTTGTGCATCTGAAGCCCTTCCCCAGGCCGTCAGTTTAGAGTCCAGACTGATATGCATTTAAAGCGAAACGTGTCCGGGAACCCAGCACCCAGTTGCTGGGCTCCTCTTGTTGAATTTCAGCGCTAATTACACTTTTTGTAAGTCTGGTTACTGGGTACTGGGACTGGAACCTGGTGGAGATCTGCTTAGATTGTTGCTGCGACTAAAGACTTTCATTAAGCTTAGTTGGGCAGCAGTTTAAACCCGTTTAACCCGGCCGGTGAAATTGTCGCCATCGCCAGCCAAATGGACGGGGGCAGTCGCAGTTCTGCGATGGGATACGGGATATGGGATGGAACGTCGTCAGTCCAGAGATTGGCAATTTTATCTGTCAACAGCATGGAAGTTTTGTGTGCAACTGTTTTCGAGGATCTGAAAGAGGAGGCGGCAAGGGTCCAGTGCTAAATAAATGCACGCCCACACGAATCGAAGAGGATTCAGGGATCGTGGGCTTGGGATAAAACATTCAGAGGATCTGCACTTGGAAAAAAATATACATTTGTCTTTGTATTAAACGGTTTAATCTGGGATTCATTTTTTTTTTGGCGCCCCCGGGTGGACTATAATTGTTTTTTTTTATGTTGTGGTAAACTTTAGAAAATCGATTTCTTATAATTTCCATTTTTAACTGCCACCTCTTACGCTGTTTTTATTTTTAGTGTGATCTTAGCCCTGATAAGCTGAAGAGCGAACAGAAGACAGCTACCTTTGGGTTTGTGGTTGTGTCAACAGCAAAAAGAGGCAGCAGTGAAAGGCAAATCAAATCGAAGGCAGTGAAGCCCCAAAGCCAAAGCCAAGTGACATCTTTCAGGCAGCCAAAAATATAAAAATATGCACAAAAATAAATATAAAAATGCAGACAATTCAAGTTCGTTTGTGCCCAACACGCTTTTCATATGTAAGCAGTGAAGAAGTCGAGAGTTATTCATCTTTGTCAGCACGCATTTCTCACACTCTCCTGCAGGTGGGGATGCTAAAAGGGGGCAAGCAGGGGCAGGTGCGGCAGTTGGGGCAGCATTCAATGACCAATTATGGCCTAACAAGGCCTCCAACTCCAAAACTCCGACTGAGACTCCGACTCCAAAAGTCCCAGCTTCTGCTTTCGGCTGCTGCTGTTGATGTATGCAAATAAGCTGTCAAAAGTAATTTCATTCAATTACCTTATTTAACGTACAAAAACCAAAACGAGCCAAGACAGGGCAGCAAAGAGAGGGAGATGGTGATAAAGTGAAAGAGAAGGGGGCAACGGGGAGTTGGCTCAAACCAAAGCAGTTAACAACAAAAGGATGAAGATGATTGCTGGAACAGAACGTTCTTCAGCAGCCATGCGGATGTTCGTGGTTGCAGTTTGATTAACACTTGTGCACTGAGAGAAAATTATTTACCACAAATCAATTACCTTCGAAACCCTTAATAATTCTTAAAAAGAAAGAAAATTTTAAGTCCACCCGGGGGCGCCACTAAAATTAAAACTGTTGTTAAGAATAACTTCTTATGTAATATTTGTCATAGTTTCTCGCAGTGCTAATGGCACAGCATCACACAAAGCAAAGCTAAGTCACACCACAGTTCTGCTAATAGAAGTTGGCCAAATGTCGGTCGTGTCTCTGGCGTGGATTATCACCGAAACGAGTGGAGTGAGTGGCACAGCACAGCACAGCACCGAGTCAAGCTCCGAAGTCTCTGTATCCGAGGCCAGCGAACAGTTTTGATAAGACATCCCCGGAGCAGGGAACTTTGAGGCATTGCGAACTGTGGAACTCTGGGTCTCTGAGACTGAAACTCACTTCGCGAATCGCAGCGTGCGGCTGCTTGCATATTTCTTATGCAATTTCCGGCAGATGTGGATGATTTAGCTGGCCCCGCCGCAACGACCAATACGAAATGTGGCTGATGAGAAATGGCTACGTGCTCACAAGTGTCGGGCCCCGATTTTTAGACTTTTTAGCTTAATTCGCGATTTAGTTTGAGAGGCGACCCCTCGACAATCGTCATCAATCGCCAGCCAATAATTCCAATGCCAATTCGGTGTGTGAAATCCAATACGATTCCTCATCCCAATTGAGGTGAAGAAAGTGTTTGCCATGTGGGCGTGGGTGCGAGCAGAAAGCGTGAAATGTCTGCGGTCTTCAAACAGATCACTCTCCCCACACTGCAAGAAAACCTAAATGATCGATAATAATAATAACTTTTATTCGCTGTGCACCAACAGGTGATTGACCAGCAATCGAATTAGTTATAAAGACATTTACTTCGCTGAGGGCTCGGCAATGAAGACTGTGTTCTGCGCACCTGGAGAATCCTCGCGCGTCGTGTGAAGATTTCACACTTTTGCCTTGATTAGTCACGGGCTTCGCACCTCCCCGAACCACCGAACTTTTTCGCGGGGTCTCCAACATGGCAGCTGATTTATGTTGACGCCTTATCAGGGCCCCTCAATATTTATTGCAATTTTTATAAATTATTTTTTTTGTGCTCTCTCAAAAGATGCGCAAAAGCGGCGAAGAGCTGAAGATTTATATGTGAGCAGATGTGATGGGGCCGCACCACCGGGAAAGTGGTGCAGCCAAGGGGGCGGGGTGATGGTCCTGAAGCGAAAGGTGGGAACGATCTATTTCTGTTTACTTTTCTACGGCTGAGACTGTTGGTTCCCTGTTTGGTTGTTGTTGCTCTCTCTGTTGTCGCTGTGCATCGTCAAACACCAAAAAGCAATTCTAACAGTTGTTGCACCGCTGCACCACCACTTGCACCACCGCTGTGCCGCTTGTCGTGTTATTAGGAATTTTTAATTTTCCGGTATAGATTTCTGACTTGTTCTCCGCTGCGTTCTATGCGATGTAATGTTTATTCCACATAGAGAAAAAATTATATAAAAAAATATAGATATCTTAGAAATAAACTAAAACTTAAAATAAATCAGAAACATTATTTAACGAAATTTAATGCCCACCCGGGGGCGCCAAAAAGTTTAATATTAACATTTATATCCACATATTTTTGACCAGTGTGACTAGTCTTCTCTCCGTGCTTTTCTGCCAGAACTCCATTGCTCCACCTTGTCTCTGAGTGGTGCAGTGGTGCTGGGGCATCATCAAAATGCATCTAACAAGGTTGTTAGGTGTTAAATAAGTGTGCTTAAAAATTTATCTTGTACATTTCTTCCTTCCATTTGATTTATGTTTGGCTGGCACTTGGCTCTGCAGCTGTCTTCTTAGCCAGAGCCAAAGCCAATGCCCATTACCATTTACCCCGAGATGCCACGCCCCCCTCTTACGGTTGCCTCGGTTTACGGTTCAACTTTTGAGAGGCGGATGAGAGGCAAAAAGTCTCAACTTTTGCTTTCGCCGTAGCGAGAAAAAACAGCGTCTATTGATAAATCAAAATACCAATAGATGCGTGAGCAGGGTGGTGCTGAAGTGGGGGAGACTAACATTTATCCACTGGCCATGGACTTGACTGCAGAGATCTGCGAGTTGCGAGGCTGCGTCTGCAAATGGCCAAAAACATGCAAACAACACAACAGCACAACTGGCCAGGGAAAAGGAGGAAAATGTTTTGGGGGAAAAATCAGAGAGTGGCGAGTGGGGGAATGAATGCGTTTCTTGTGTTTCAAATGCCTCTACGATTTTTCCTGCCGCAGCTGCAACAAGCTGGCTGCACCACCCGCCTGGGTATCCTCCTCTTTAGCCCCCTTTCCACCCCTTTGTCCATTTACCATCCTCCGATCCCAAACTCTGAATACAACTATGACTGCGATGATCGATCGTTGCACAAGTTCCCCAACTTTGCTCGCTGGAATGTGCGTCGGTTGCCGAGTTTTCTCAGTCCACTGAGTTTGGACAACTGCCAGCGACAAAGTTCACGAACTTGAATTGAAATCAGTTCCTGTTTTAGTCGCCAAAAATAA